ACACACAGAACACTGCTGAAAAACTGCAGGACACATGTTCTTTTCAAAAACACATAAATTTTCAAAAAAGAAAACTTAGCCATATAGCCATAAAACAAGTCTCAACAAATTTCAAAATATAACATAAAATAAATTCTCTGGTCTCAATGCAATTAAAGTAGAAAGCACTAACAAAAAGATGACTAGGAAATTGCCATGTATTTTGAAATTGAGAAATACATTTTAAAATAATCTCTGGGTCAGATAAGAAATCACAATGGAAGTTCAAAAATATTTTGAGATTAATAATAATGAAAATACTGTATACGAACTTCTGTGTGATACATCTAAATCTCTGCTTAAAGAGAAATGCATAGCCTTAAACTCAAGTATTAGGAGAGGAGAAAGGTGGAAATTAATGATGTAAGAATGTATCTCAAGAAGGTAGAAAAATAATTGCAAATTAAACTCAAAGTTGAAGAAAGGAAATAATAAAAAGCAGATATTTATGAGATAGGAAACATCAATAAAGCCAAACTTCATTTGAAACGAATAGCAAATGATAACCTCTGGAAATACTTATAAAGAAAAAAAGGAGAAGACACAAATAATATCAGGAATGAAAAAATGGATAAAATTTTAGATCTTACAAAAATGTAAAAGATCCTGAAAGGATATTATGAACAAATTTAATTCAATGATTTTTTAAAAATTTAGGTTAAATAGGTCAATTCTTAGAAAAACACAACATACCAAAACTGACACAAAAAGAAATTGAGATTCCAAGTAGTTGCATAACTATGAAATAAATTAAATTGCTGATTAAAAACCTGAGCACAAAGAAGACTCCAGATCCAGATGACTTCACCGATGAAGTCTATTAAACATTCAAGGCAGAAATGATAGTCTTCCACAAATTCTTCCAGAGATAGGGAGGGAGAGAACGCTTCCCAATTTGTTCTTTGAGGCAGCACAATCTTGATACGAAAACCTGACAAGCACATTTTCAGAAAGGAGATTACAGGCCAATTATTCATGAATACAAGAGCAAAATTCCTAAACAAAGTATTAGTTAACAAAATCCATTATATTAAAAGCATAATTTATCAGAACCACATGGAAGTCATATCAGGAGTTCAAAGTTGGTTTGACATCTGGAAGTCATTGTAATTGACCACATTAGCAGAATAAAGGGTATGACCATCTCCATGGTTGTGTAAAAATTGATAAATGAAATTTTAACATTCATTCATTATTAAAAAACCTCTTAGCAAATAGAAATAGAAGAAAACTTCCTTAATCAGATAAAGATTATCCTCAAAAGGAAGCAGAAGTGTTTGGCACTCAGCTCTGATATCAGTCTATTCTTTCTTTGATCTAACTCAGACCTGCTGAACCTTCTCCTTGCCCAACTCTGAAAGTGGAAAGAAGTGAACTATCCGGGTCATCAAGCTGTGTTTCTCCTCACTCCCATAGATATATCTACATGGAAAGCACAGTAATAATCAGAAGGTTACTCTGTGAGAATCAAAGGAGAATGAATGAGATGATGTTCATAGCCAATATCCATTAACTATGAAAAGCTGATGTATACATCTTTGCGTAGATGAGAATACTTGTGTTCCTGGGTAAGAAATACATTTCTGAACTGTCTGGGGACCATTTCTCTTCTCAAAAGGGATTATTTCTTTAGACTGTTTCTGTTTAGAGGGATCGTTTCTGTTTAGGGCTTGTTTCTTTAGACTGTTTCTTTAGACTTTTTCTTTAGGGTGTAATGTGAATACTTAGGCTATGGTTTTACACATGCTAATATAGTCATCTCTGATTCCTTTTGGCTATGTCACTCTTCTGTTCCTTTGCTTCTCTCTGATAATCCAGACATCCCAAAATACTTTGGGTTTCTCAGTGAGCCAGGCTGATTTATTCATATATACATTTTGCATATCCTGTGGCATTTTCCTGGAATGACCTCCCCATCCTCACACCACCTCCGCTCCTCATCCATTTGTCAAACTTGTATTTCTTCCTCAAAATCCAACTCAAGGATCTTCCCTCTGTGAAGTTTTCCCTTCTTTATGTTCTTGCTGTATCTTTCCCATCTTCTGTAATCGTACTTATCACACTATTAAAATGTTTGGTTCTGTCTGCCTATTAGAATTTGAATTTCTTGAGAGAAGATTCTTGGTCTTTATATTTGTATTCCTAGTATTTAAACTCAGTGAAAGTTTATTAAATGGAGAAATAAATGAGCGAAGCAGTAAGCAAACGATGGAGTGACCCACCTCAGCAGGGCTCTATCTTTTTAGGGTCACCCTTTGGGCATTCTGCTAAGCTCTCGTGAACTCATCCTAGCTAGTAACGAAGACTTCTCTGGTTGAGTACATTGAATTTACAATCAATAATTAACTCTAAATTGAATTTATAATTGCTTTTGTAATATTACTATAATCGTGGGCATTCAAAATGCTGACTTCCAAAATGCAGGTCATAACCTTAATTTTTAATTTCATCCTGCTTCTGTTAAGTTAAACAGAAGGGAGAAGTGGTAGAAGAAATTGAAAATTCTGAGGAATAACTTTAATTAGGTATGTAAAAGAACCTGAAAAGACATTTTAAAATAAGATTCAGTCCAGAAGCAGGATAGGGTATTAATTCCTAATTAAGATCAGTAGTTTAATACCAAAGCGAATAGGTGAGAGCAGAGTTGCCGGGGAAATGGAGAAACTAGTTCTTCCCACTGCTTTCCAGCCCTTTTCCCTCATGGCATGTGTAGGAAGTGATATTATTTATGGCACTCTGGGGTGAATGGATGAGGCTGCTTGCTATTGAAGGCCAGTGGCCCATGGGTCCTCGCTGCCCCAGGCTCCACCTGGCTGAGGGAAGAGCTAAGATCAGATCTCAGCAATCCAGAAGCCCTCTGCAACGGACTGCTGGGGAAACTCTGAAGTTTAAGAAAGATGAGTAGGATGTACCTGCAAGGATTTTATGGTTTTGGCTCTCAGCTTAACCTAACAAACTAAGTTCAGAGTAAGCAAGAAAAGCAGGTACCATTTCAGTTTCCTAGCTGGATTTGTTTAGGCAATGATTTCCCACTCTGGCTGCATATTGGAGTCACCTGGAAGCTTTTAAAACGTAAAAACAGCAAAGCTCAGACCCTACCCTAGTACAATTAAATCAGAGTCTCTGTGGGGAGGGGTATGGGATGGCATCAGTATTTTTAAAAGTTCCCTACTGGTGATTCTAAAATGAGTCCAGAATTAAGAACCACTGATATAAGCATTAACTGATGATAAAAAAAATTATTAGTAAGGGACCTAAATTCTAACTATGTGTGTTTTTAAAAAGTGCCTTAATTTAATACTTACGCTTAGTGGCTTTCTGGCATAGACAGTTTTTTGGTTTTGTTTTTGTTGTTGGAGGAAAGGTATAAGGCAGTCAGTTGTTTGTATTTATTTCAATGTAGCCATGTTCTCAGAAGGGCTTAGCCCGTGGAGTTTTCATCTTAAACTCAATGTTTATGAAGTAATGGCAAGTAGCACTGCGAATTGGTCAGGAATGGTAGCTGCGGAGGCTTTAAACTAAGCCTTGAAGAGTAGACAGAGTTTAGATTCAGAAAAGGTGGAGTAAGGTGGGGGCTATGAATTTTAAATGGGGGAACAGTGTGGGCACAGGGGAGGAGGAGGGATAAGAAAATTCCAGAGAAGAGTGCTGCAGAGTCTGAGACAAGGGCCCCGCTGCAACTGAAGGGGCAGCCAAAGCCAGCCGTCTCTGCAGGGGATATGAGAGCAGTCCAAGGAGACCACTTTTCAAACACCACTAGCAGTTGAGAATTACCACGCGCAGGCTCCCTTGATCTTAGTCCAAGGAGTGCATGGAAGGCCTGATTACAGATAGTGTTTATTGAGCGCTAACTAGACGCCAGGCACTTTTCCTAAGAATTTCATGTGTATTAACTAATTTAATCCTCACAGCAACCCTGTGGGGTAGCTTCTATTATGATCCCTGGTTTACGGATGAGGAAAGTGCAGCACATAGGCTGATGGTTTTAGTGATGTCTCTATATTCAGGGGCCTGTTTTCCCTTCATGGCCCTGACTCAGAGTCCCCATGGTATATTTACTGGACAATGAATTATATAAAGTAGCAATGTGCCACGTCGGGGTAGGGTAGAAGTGGGTACTTTGAAATAAGGTCAGCTAGGGAGCAGAGAGCTAAGTATTCTGAACCTTTTTTTCTACAGGTATGAGGAATTTACCGAGATTTTTGAGCATGGAGAGGCATGATGAAAATTTTTGGTAAAGCTGGTCTGGAAAGATGGCAGGATGAGTTGAGGGTAGGGGAGGGTAGGAGGTAAATGTGATACCAGATGACCAGTTAGGAAGCTAATGAAATAATCCAGGGGTGATGTGATAAAAAAAACTAGGTCAGGAGGGTGGTAGTAGTAACAGGGCACAGATGCAAGAGCCATTATGAAGGTCCTGGGACTAGAGAGGCAGCCTAGTGACTGGGTGAGCCTCGGGTGGTCAGGGGGCAATTCTAATAAGGGAAGGTGGTGAATTTATTTATTTATTTATTTTTTTGCTGAGGAAGATTTCCCCCGAGCTAACATCTGTGCCAGTCTTCCTCTATTTTGTATGTGGGTCTCTGCCATAGCATGGCTGACAAGTGGTATAGGTCCATGCCTGGGATTCAAACCTGTGAACCTGGGCTGCCAAAGTGGAGCGTGCCAAACTTAACCAATATGCCACGGGGCTAGCCTCAAGTTGGTGAATTTAACCTGAGCTTTTCTGTGAGTTTGCAGGATATTGATTCATTCCAGCCTAAGATGTGTTATTGTATTTGGTATCCTGACTTCAATTTTTAAAGTTTATTTTGGATACTTCCCTATTGTTGATGTGGATGGCAATATTTATCTGTATATTGTAACTTCACATTAATTCTTTACCTAGTAAAAATATGATATTTACTTATTATAATATGTAATTAATAAAATGTTATTTTTAATGTTATTATTTACTCTAGGTTATCAGACCAAGATGAAGAGGGCAAGACCAAGCAGACGTGTATCATATCAGACCCTTCCTTTTCCATGGTGACAGTTCAACGGGAAGATAGTGGAATAACCTGGGAGACCAATTCAAGCAGGTCTTCCACTCCTTGGGCCTCAGAAGAAAGTCAGACTTCTGGTGTGTGTAGTCGGGAAGGGTCAACTGTGAATTCTCCTCCAGGGAATGTTTCCTTTATTGTGGATGAAGTTAAAAAAGTTCGGAGAAGAACATCTAAGTCAAAGCATGGCTCACCATCATTGCGTCGGAAAGGCAACAAAAAAAGAAATTCTTTGGAATCCCAAGATGTTCCAGCAAACAAAAAAGATAATCCTTTAATTTCAGAAAGCCAGATACTAAACAGCCAGAAAGAGAAGTCATCTACTGGCATTTATGATAAAACGAGAAAAAAGAAGACCGCCTCCAGTACCCCTCCTATTACTGGGGCGATATACAAAGAGCACAAGCCATTGGTGTTGAGGCCAGTCTACATAGGAACGGTGCAGTACAAGATTAAGATGTTTAATTCAGTTAAAGAAGAATTAATTCCTCTACAATTTTATGGAACATTGCCAAAGGGTTACGTAATTAAAGAAATACATTATAGGAAGGGAAAAGATGCATCCATTACTCTAGAGCCAGATTTGGGCAATCGTGATTCTAACATAGTTTTCAAAACAGGCAAATTAGTAGCCCAAAGCATAGAAGATGATAGAGAAAAAGAGCTTTCTTCACCTTGGAGAGGTGCCCTCTCCAAAGGATCAAAGTCCCTGACCTCTTTATTGCGTCAGGAAGATCATAAGAAGATTGACGTTGATTCTCCCCTCAAGGCTGCATCTGCCACCATGCACACAGCCTCCTCTTATACAAGTAATGACACAGCAGAACAAGAAACAGAGCTCGGCCCTCCACAGTCAGTGCTGCAACAGCCAGGCCCTGAAGCAATACCCCGGGAAAGGAAGGCTTCCTTTCTTCCACCTGATGCATCTGCCACTGCCTTCCTGGGAGCAGCGAAGGGAGAATTTGAGCCTGATTCACAGGAAACGGTAACTCCAACGCATGACTCTTCAGTCTCCCCACCTTTGATGGATGAGGAAAAGAAGGAAGATGCGGATTCCGTTGACCATTCCATTTCACTGAAGACAGAGAGGGATTCTCTGGAAAGAGCTTCACGAAGTCTGGCAGCATCTATCCAGGAAGGTTTTGGCCCAGAGAGAAAAGAGCTGGACCTGACTTCACTAGAAAGAGCAGGACCGGTTTCAGAACAACTGACCCCTCCTCATCTCGACCTGACGTCGCTAGAAAGAGCAGAACAGGTTTCGGAAAAACTGACCCCTCCTCATCTCGACCTGACGTCGCTAGAAAGGGCAGGACCGGTTTCGGAACAACTGATCCCTCCTCATCTCGACCTGACGTCGCTAGAAAGGGCAGGACTGGTTTCGGAACAACTGACCCCTCCTCATCTCGACCTGACATCGCTAGAAAGGGCAGGACTGGTTTCGGAACAACTGACCCCTCCTCATCTCGACCTGACTTCGCTAGAAAGGGCAGAACCGGTTTCGGAACAACTGTCCCCTCCTCATCTCAATGTCAAAGGAGAGAAGGAAGAAAACGTGCCTGAGCCATCCATTTCTCTTTCTGAACCGCTAGTGTCAGAGAAACTGGAGAAAGCAGAAATAGAAACTTCTCTACCAGTAGCTGCTACCCATGAACCTGAAGATGCTAATGTAGTGGAAGAGGAAATCATAGAACTTGATTACCCAGAAAGTCCATCAGTTTCTGAGAAGCCCCTTTCACCATGTTTGGCCCCTGAAGTGGAGCAGAACAAAGAGGAGACCATTCTACCATTATTGACACCAACACCTGAACGTGTCGCTTTGTCTGAGGAAGAAGGAGAAGAAAATGAATCTGTTTCTACTGATTCTGCTTTTGTATCAGAGTATTCAGTCCTACAGGATTTGAACCATGAACTAGAGAAGCAAGAAACTGAGCCAGTTTCTCCATCCAATGTAAAAGCTGCATCTGAACCTGCAGTTTTGTCAGAAGAGGAGAATGAGGAATTTGAACCTTATTCCCCAGCTTCGGCCTCTGCATCTGAACACTCTCTCTCACTATCCACCACTGAGAAGACTTCTGAATGCCAGTCCCCACTGTTTTCAGCGGGTGCATCGGAACACATGGTCCTCTCCAGTGAAGAGGCCTCAGAAAGTGGACATTACACACCAGATTCCACATCTCCTTCTGAATATTCAATTCCATCGCAGGCAGCAAAAGAGTCACTGAGGACATCAATTGACCACACGTCCCCATTAAAATCGGAAGCTGTTTCTGATCACGTGATTCTGTCAGAAGAAGAGAAGAAAGGCACTGGATTGTATTCCCCAGATGTGGCCTCTGATTCTGAACACTCTTTTCTATCATACACAACTGAGATGACTTCTGAATGCCAGTCACCACTGCTTTCAGCCACCCCATCCGAGCATGCAGTTCTATCAGAGGGAGAAGACTTAGGAAGTGAGCATTTGACACCAGATGCAACGCTGACTTCCCAACATGCAGTTCCACCAAATGTAACACACGAATCGCCAAAGAAAGTAATCGATGATGTGTTCCCATTAAAATCAAAAGGTGTTTCTGAGCACATGATTTTCTCAGAAGGAGAGAAGGAAGACACTGGATTGTATTCCCCAGATGTGGCCTCTGTATCTGAACTCACTCTCCTGCCATTCACAACAGAGACGACTTCTGAATGCCAGTCACCACCACCTTCAGCTGCTACATCGGAACACGCTGTCCTACCAGAAGAGGACCTAGGAAGTGAGCATTTGACACCAGATGCAACGCTGACTTCCCAACATGCAGTTCCACCAAATGTAACACACGAATTGCCAAAGAAAATAATTGATGATGTATTCCCATTAAAATCAAAAGGTGCTTCTGAGCACATGATTTTCTCAGAAGGAAAGAAGGAAAACACTGGATTGTATTCCCCAGATGTGGCCTCTGTATCTGAACTCACTCTTCCACCATTCACAACAGAGACGACTTCCGAATGCCAGTCACCGCTGCTTTCAGCTGCTACATTGGAACACGCTGTCCTATCAGAAGAGGACCTAGGAAGTGAGCATTTGACACCAGATTCAACACTGACTTCCCAACATACAGTTCCACCAAATGTAACACACGAATCCCTGAAGAAAATAGCTGATGGCGTGTCCCCATTGAAATCAAAAGGTGTTTCTGAGCACATGGTTCTGTCAGAAGAAGAGAGGGGAGACATTGGATTGTATTCCCCAGATGTGGCCTCTGTATCTGAACTCACTCTCCTGCCATTCACAACTGAGATGACTTCTGAATGCCAGTCACCACTGCTCTCAGCCACCCCATCCGAACATGCGGTTCTATCAGAGGAAGAGACAGTAGAATTGGAGCGGTACACACCCTCTTCCACCTCTGCTTCTGAATTCTCAGTGCCACCATATGCAACACCAGAATCACAGGAGGAGGAAATGGTCCACAGAGCTCCTTTAAATCTAAAAGGTGCCTCCTCACCCATGAATTTCTCAGAAGAAGAGCAAGAAGACATTGGACCTTTTTCTCCAGACTCCGCATTTGCATCAGAATTCTCATTTCCACCTTATGCAACTCAGGAAACAGAGAAAAGAGAATTTGAGTGTGATTCTCCAATATGTTTAACATCACCATCTGAACACACTATTTTGTCTGATGAAGACACTGAAGAAGCTGAACTTTTTTCTCCAGACTCAGCATCACAAGTTTCAGTCCCACCATATAGACCAGAAACAAAGAAAAATGAAATTGAGCCTGATTCACTGTTAACTGCAATATCTGCTTCAGGATATTCTGGCTTTTCAGAAGCAGATGAGGAAGAAATTGCATCAACAGCTGCTACACCTGTACCTGAGCATCTCAGTTCATCAGAGAAGCAACAATCTGAAACCTCCCCTTCGGTGTCTGTACCTGAAGACTTGAGTCTGCCACCTTCAACAAATAAAGCAGAGGAAGCAGAAATTAAGCCAGATGTTCAGACAACTTCAGCATCTGTATCGAAATATATCATTTCAGCACAGAAGCAGATAAGGCAAGCATCATTAGAAGCTGAGTCTGAAGACTTGATTCCGTCATATTTAACCAATGAATTGGAGAAGGGAGAAATTAAGACTAGTTTATCAGTGGCTGCAACACCTTCTTCTTTCCCTGCACAACCATCCATGGCAAAGGACGAAACCAAACCTGTTTTGCCTGCAACTCAGTATTCAGTTGCACCTGATTCAGTTCATGTGATTAAGAAAGAACAAGAACCCAAAGCATCACTCACTGCACAAGCTGCAAATGAACAGATGGCTTTGTTAAAAGTTAAGAGTAAGGAAGAAATTGTGCCCGATTCTCAAGAAGCTGCAGTGCGTGTATCGCAGGATCAAGAAATGGAGCCTCAGCCTCCAAATGTTCCAGGGTCTGGGATGAAATATTCAGTTGTGCCTGACTTGGTAGATGAGCCAAAGAAGGATGTCAAACCCAATTTAGCTCCAACTGTGACATCTGAACTAGAACAGAGAATGTTGTCAGAGAATGAGCCTGAAGTAATAAAACCATATTCACCTCTAAAGGAAACATCTTTATCTGCACCTGAGATTTTATCAGCAGTGAAAACGGAAGTGAAACATGATTCTGAAATAATTGGGACACCTAAGGGTCTGCACTCAGCTTCTCCAGGAGTGGAAAAGCATATTGAACATGGACCACCTGCCCCAGAATTTTCAGCTTTGTCAACAGAAATAAAGAAAGAAGTTGAACCCAGTTCTTCAATAACCACAACGTCTCTAACTAAGCATGATTCAAGCTTAACCAAATTAGCAAAAGAAGAAATCCTAACAGGTTTATCTCTTAGCACCCCTATAGAACATCTAATCTTAACAGAAGTAGGAAAGAATGAATTAGAAAGTGGTTTGCCACCAGTGGTAACATCTATAGATGAGCATTCACTTCTTAAAGAAGAAGAAAAGGCAGCAATTAAAGCTGGTTCTTCTCCCACTGAAATGGCTGCACCCAAACGTCCAGCTGGGTTGGAAGCAGAGAAGGAAAGTAAATTTGAATCATCTCCAAGCATATCCTCTAGATCAGAGCATTTTATTTTCTCAAAGGCAGAAAGTGAAGAAGTTAAACCCGGGTTGCCAATAACCAAAACATTGTCTTCTCAACATTCAGATATATCTAAGGAAGCAAGGGTGGAACACGAACAAGGTCTTTCATTTCCTACAGCCCTCGACTCTGAACATTTGGTTTTATCACAGAAGAAGAATTCTGTGTCTGCCTCAGAGGTGTCAGAGCCTGAACATGGGCTTTTGCTCAACCTAGGTGGTGAGATAAAGAAAAAAGAAACTGAACTTCTTTCCTCACAAAACATGTCACCCATACCCAAACATATAGTTCCACGAGGCAAAAATGAGGAAATGGCAAGTTCTTCTCCCGAGTCAGAAAATTTATTGTCAGACGATTTAGCTCCGATGTTACCACCCCTCAGTGATGACAGGAACAAACAGGCAATGGAGATGTCTCCTGCAGCACAGGGGGGTTTCCTGTCAGAAAAACAAGATCGTGCTCTGGCAGAGCTCTCTTTGGAACCTGAAAAGAAAGACAAACCACACCAAGTATCAGAATTACCAACTGCTGAGGCAGAATTCACTAGTGGTGTAGGGAGGCAAAGTGGATCCATAGATACAAAACAAATAAAATCTCCCATAACTGAAACAGGGGACTCTGTCTTAGAAAAGGGCTTAGCTGAACTTAGGAGCAGAGAAGAAGGAAAAGAAGAAAACAGGGAACTTCATGCGTCAACTACAGTGCCTGAAATTTCAGAGGTTTCATCGTACCTTAGGGAGGAACCTCAGAGTCAAGAAATTAAGCCTTTCTCCGCTAAGGTAGTCAGCTTAGGGTCAAAAGAAGCATTTACCTCTCTAGTTGAAGGAGACAACCCAGAAGAACGTCAGCCACATACTTTTTCTTTAGAAGAATTATCAGAGGAGTTGAACCATTCAGCTGACTTTAAAAAAGGGGAAAAACAAAAAATAAGCCTGTTACTGCCAACAGGAAATTTGAAGGCGCAAATGGCGGGAGATATTGTAACTAAACTAAATGAAGAAACAAACCAACCACATTCAATTCATGTACCCCAGAGTATAACAGAACCATCAAAGATCGCTTCTACTGACCTCCTTGTGGAAGAAGAGAAGCCTGAAAAAGCACTTCATTCAGATCAAACTGTGAAATTACCTGATGTAAGCAGGTCTTTTGCAGATAAACAAGATCTTGGTATTAAACAATTTTTGTTTATGGAACAGAATTTAACTCTGGAAGAATCAAAATCATTTATGACAACTGAGCCTGCAGATGTGGAAGAAACACAAATGAAAGAGGCCCTCATTTCTTCAAAGGATGAAAACTGGATGCTAGAAAAGCCAGAAAGCGCTTTGGCAAGTCATGATGACGAAAGAGCAGTGGGATCTGTGCAGCTGGGTTCCTCTGGCAGCAGTGATCTGATGACAGGACAGCCCAAGGCTGCTCTGTTGGATAAAGACCAGGCATGTGAAGTCAAAAAACAGGTTCTGGCAGATTCTGCTGAGGAATCTCATTTATCATTACAAGAACCAGTATCTACTCTTGATACCTCCAGTGGTAACGTAGAGACCCTATCAACTAAAACGTATCCTTCTGAAGAAATAAAGCTGGCCCCCGAACCAAAATCTTTGGTTCTGGCTGGAAATGTAGAGAGAAAAGAGGCAGAGGTGAGGCACATCCTTTCTTTCGTGGGGAGTGAAAGGTTGGTATCAGAGAAGGCAAACACAGAATTTTCTAGGCCTTGCAAAGAAGAGAGCCAGGAAGAAATCAAACTACCTTCTGAAATAATCCTCCAGGAACCAGGGTCTGGATCATCAGTGGAACATGTCAAATCAGAAACTATTCTCTCTCCTGCCAAAGAAGCCCATTTCCTGGCAGAAGATGCAGAACACGCAGCTGCACTGGGCAAGGAAAAAGCAGCACACAGGAGCATATCTCCTTTACCTGGAGAGAAGCCACTAGAAGAATCAAAAATGGGTCAGTCAAAGGTTGTAGATGATGATAGTAAGAGAGGGAAACCAGCATCTGAAGTGAAAACACCCACACAAATAAAACCCCTCTCCTCAATCCAAGAAAATGAAGAACATCAACCCCCAGAGTCACCTGAGGTGTCACCAAAGCCACCTAAGCAGCCCAAGGACACTGAGCCAGCCCTTGCTGAGGAAAAGGGAAAGAAAAGAATTTCGTCTTTCACGTCATGGATGTCCCGCTGGTTTTTTGGATCAAGCACTTCAGATAACCAAGTTACTGAAAAAGAAGATTTAGAAACTCAGCCAAGTCCATCTGTAGAGGAATCAGGGGCAGTGACAGAGCCTAAAGGTGTAGCTTCAGCTGACTTGAATGCAACGGAGAAACCAGCTGATCGTCTCTTACCAGAGGCAAAACTGGAAACTGCTGAAAAATCCAGAGATGCTTTAGTTAAATCTGGTGAAGGTCAAGACTTTAAAGAGAAACCCACATTTTTATCAAATGTAGAAGTTTTACAACAGCCAAAATCCACCTTTGAGGTGTCTAATGAAGATTATGGGAAGAAAGAAATCCTAGACTATTCAGAGGAGGGGGACCTGAACTCAGGAGTTACTTCCGCTGGTAGTAAGGAGCATCTTGGAATTCAGTCTTATTCTCCCATGGGTGAGAAATCCATTATGGAAGAAGCCAAAAGTGCTGTTCCTCTTCATGTCACTGATAGTAAAAGAGCCCAGAAGCCAGAAATCTCTCCTCCATCTAAATGGAATATTTCTATATTTAAGGAAGAGCCAAGAAGTGATCGAAAAGAAAAATTGCTTTCTTCATTTGATGCAGCGGATAAGGTGCCACAACAGCCAAAACCAGCTTCATCTAGTTTTGCAAGTGAAAATATCACAAAGGAATCAGAGAAGCCAGAGTCAATAATTTTGCCGGTAGAAGAATCTAAAGGTAGTTTAATTGATCTTGATGAAAACAGACTAAAGAAAGAAATGCAAAAACCTACTACCTTGAAAATTTCTGAAGAGGAAATAAAATTCAGGTCTGTTAGCCCAACTGAAGAGAAAGAAAACTTGGAAACCAGATCATATTCCTTGGCAGAAAAGAAGGTGCTGGCAGAAAAGCAAGAAACTGTGGGGACCCCATTAGAGCTTAGAGATAATAATGAAATAGGGAAGCCACAAATTACACAAGAATCTAGCCCTATTAAATTGGAAGAATGGAAAGCTGCTGCTGTGCTGCAGGAAGTCCATCAAAATGAAGACCACAAAAAAAGACACCAAATTATTGAGGAGGAGAAAGGAGAAGAAGACGAGAAGCAGTCACATGTATTTTCTGAAGGAAAGAAGCAGCAGGAAATTCAGCCGTATTCTGTGAGTGTAGTTAGGTCTCTGCCTGAAGAATCAGATATCTCTTTAAGTCATTCTTTGGGTGAAACTCAACCATTTTCATTAATTAAAACTACGTCAATTACTGAAAAATCGGAAACCAGGATCTCAGAGGCTCACCCAGAAATCAGGGAAACAAAGGCAGCAGAAAGCCCACCACATCCATTAGAAGAAAGTGAAGTTTTGGTGGAGAAAAGCAAGACTTTCCTTCCAGTGGATCTTCCATATCGTGGTGAAAGAGACGGCCATTCTTTACCTAAGGAAGGAAATCTGGTATTGGAAAAGTCGAGCAGGGATAGGGTGAGTCACAGTGAAGAAAAGGGACAAGTCACAGTGTCAGAGCTGTCAAAAGCCGGTTCAATAGACATCACAAAAGAAAGTATGAAACAAGGATCTCCATCTAAAGAATCTGAAAGGATTTTAGATCGTCCTTTTGATGAAACAAAGAGCTTAGAAACACCACCATATTTGTCATCATCTGGGAGACCACAAACACTTGTTTCAGGAGCTTCTCCAGAAATCAGTACAGTGAAGAAACAGGAAATGCCATGGTCAGAATTGACTCCAGATAGGCCTACAGTCCATACTATTCAAACATCTAAAGATCAAACATCTGAAATTTCTAAACAATCTGTTCTTATTTCAAAGCACTGCTTGGAAGCTGTGGAAGATGCTCATGTAAAGGAACCACGCTCTTCAGCAAGCAGCAACTATGCTCAATTTATAACTAGTGCATCAGCAATCAGTGCCGATAAAGTGGTTTCTGCTAGGGAAATATCCAAGAAGCCCGAAGACACGTATGTAAAAGATGAAGAATTTACAGTGACCAGTAAGCCAGCTGGACTTTCAGAAGATCAAAAGAGCGCCTTCAGTATCATTTCTGAAGGCTGTGAAATATTGAATATTCATGCTCCTGCATTTATTTCTTCAGTTGATCAGGAGGAAAGTGAACAAATGCAAGATAAGTTAGAATATTTGGAAGAGAAGGCCTCATTTAAAACTATATCCCTTCCTGATGATAGTGAGGTGGTTGCTTCCCCTAAAACATTACAGAGTAAATTAGAAGATTCTGATGAAAAAGTTACATCATTGAAAGAAAGTAAACAAAAGGAAACTCATAACACAAAAGAGGAGATATCCACAGATTCAGAAACTGATGATTTAGGCTTTAATCAGCCCACAACTCCCAGTGAAGAGGATTATTTTGAAAAATATACTTTGATTGATTATAACATCTCCCCAGACCCAGAAAAACAGAAAGCTCCGTGGAAATTAACTGTTGAAGCAGAACTCTCAAAGGAAGTTACAGAAGAAACTGTCTCTTTCCCAGAAAGTTCAGAGGAAAGTGCCCTAGAACATGAATACGACTTGGTGAAATTAGACGAAAGTTTTTATGGAATGGAAAAGGACTACAGCAAATTGTCTCACCCAGAGACCCAAAAGTCTTTGGATATCCAAAAATCAGCTGACAGAGATGCTCCAAAGAGCATCAATAGAGATGCAGACTTGAAGTCACCCGGGATGCCTTTATTTGATGCAGAGGAAGAAGTTTTGTCACGAACCCAGCTATTTCCTACCACTGCTAAAGCCATTAATCCTGAACTTCTGGAGGAGCCACCTGCACTTGCATTTTTATACAAGGATCTGTATGAAGAAGCAGTTGGAGAGAAAAAGAAGGAAGGAGAGACAGCTTCTGAAGGTGACAGCGTGAATTCTGAGGCATCGTTTCCAAGCAGAAGTTCTGACACTGATGATGGAACAGGAATATATTTTGAGAAGTATATACTCAAAGATGACATTCTCCATGACACATCTGTAACTCAAAAGGACCAAGGCCAAGGTCTGGAAGAAAAACCAGTTGGTGAGGATGATTCATACCAACCAATAGCTGCAGAAGGGGAAATTTGGGGGAGGTTTGGAACTATTTTGGAGGAGACGAGTCTGGAAAAGGAACAGAAAGCAGCTTACAGGGAAGGAGAATCAGAAGGCCCTGTGGAGACCCTTGACAAGGTAGCTGTGCAGAAGAAAGCTCCCGTCACTGAGGAAGTCAGAGTGGTTACCCAGAAGATAAGCTATGCAGTTCCATTTGAAGACACCCATCATGTCCTGGAGAGAGTAGAGGAAATGAGCGGTCAGAGTAATGAAGCAGCAGATGCAAGTCCAGAGGTCAATCTGAATGTCCCAGTACAAGTGTCCTTCCCAGAGGAAGAATTTATATCTGGTGCAACTTATGTTCAAGAAACACTGCAAGAAGAACCTAAAATAATGGTTCCACCTGAGCCAAGTGAAGATAGGCTTCGCAATAGCCCTGTTCAGGATGAGTATGACTTTGCTGCATCCCTGAATTATGAAGTGGTTACTCAAGACACTTTATCAGAAGAACTGTATTCAGAATCCACACCTGAAGATGTGTTCTCTCAAGGAAAGGAATCCTTTGAACACATCAGTGAAAATGAATTTGTGGGTGAGGTGGAACAAAGTATGTCTGCTGAAGAGGAAGAGCTGGGCAGAGAGAAGACAGAACAAGACCAATTATCATCAGAGTTAGAAACTGAGAAGGAACAAAAGGAATTGAAAAAGCCCCAGATTGACACATATTGCTATACTTGCAAAAGTCCAATTTCTGCTGTTGACAAGATACTTGGCATCCATGACGACCATGAGGTTTCATCCCTTGATACAGCTATAAGTGCTGTAAAGGTAAATAGATTTAAAGCATATAAGTGTGTAATCATACATATAAATTTAACTTGTTTTCGCATTTTCTCAATTTAAATAATGACCGATATTTGATACATTTATCTTTAGGCATAATAGTCAGTCTAAAAGAAAACTAAGCATATTTCCCTAAGCATTTAGTTAAGATCAGTTTGGCCACCATTTATGGGGTATACACTACATGCCAGGTATTTTTCTAGAGTCTTGGATACCAGGATAAATAACACAGGGTCTCTGCCTTTGAGGGGTCTTATCTTATGGCAGTAGCCCATAACATTATCCAAAAGAGCCAAACAATTTTAAATTAAAAAAATATACTTTTGAGCATAAAACACAATTTGCTTTCTATTATCTACAATATCATTCTTTAAAAATACACATTTATTTTAGATTGAGCAATTTAATTGCAAGTTTTATAAAATACTCAAGACAGTAAGACATTTAAAATTTTGGGTTTCTCCATATTTCCTCTTTATTTATAAAATTGATGTTAGAAATGGAAAACCTTTGCATTCTTTCTGGCTATGTCTATAGACTCCCAGTGTTAAAAGGTTAGTCACAAGACATATCTTTATAGTCCACATAAATACTCCATATCCCCAGAGATGCTATTGGAAATCAAGGGCTTACTCTTTGTGATTTCCATCTTCCTTTCAATAGTCTTCTACCTGGAATCCACACTCTTGTCTCTTCAATCCATCTGCCATACAGTAGCCAGACTGATCTAAAAATGCAAATAATAAGAATTGAGCACTTCCTGTATGCCAGGGTCTCTGTTAAGTTCTTTATTTACAAGATATCTTTTAATCCTCACAACAACCCTGCCATTGTCATCAATTTGCAGATAACCAAATGGGCTGAGATAGTTTAAATGATTTGCCCAAGTCATGGAAGACAGAACTGGGGATGGTACCCAGGTCTGTCTGAGCTCCTGCTCTTGACTGTGTATCTATGTTATTCAGCTCAGTGCCTTGTTAATGGTAGTGATTTTCAATATGATTATTTAATGAGGCCACTGTTCGATAACTGCCAGACTCATTTTGATTCAATAGGATAACATATTAGAATCTTGGCATTTTTTCCCCAGAAAATTAATGCTTCTCAACTTGTCTGATATTGATTCTATTTCTCCAGGGTGAAATTTTATTGAAATTTTACCTAGTAAAGTTTGGGGGGAGTAAATGGAACAATGTCTTTTATGAAATCTCAGCATCGGGATGCATTAACACCCATGAAAGGTGCCCCATTCTTTGAGGATGCTTGGTTTTGTTAACTAACGACTGCTGGGCACTATCAGCAGAAAGAAGACTAGATTTCTTCAGTCTTCTTAATTATGTTTTGTTTGTCACTATGATTTTTAGAAATTAAAAACTAATTCTGTCTAAATATTGTCAATTTAAAAGAAATTTCTTTTTTTTTTCGGAGGAAGATTAGCCCTGAGCTAACATCTGCCGCCAATCCTCCTCTTTTTGCTGAGGAAGACTGGCCCTGAGCTCACCTCCGTGCCCATCTTCCTCTACTTTATATGTGGGACGCCTACCACAGCATGGCGTGCCAAGCGGTGCCACGTCCACGCTGGGGGTCAGGACCGGTGAACCCTGGGCCGCTGAAGAGGAATATGTGCACTTAATTGCTGCGCCACCGAGCCAGCCCCTAAAAGAAATTTCTAAAGCAGGGTGATATGATGTCTCCTTCTTTAAAATCATTTTAAAGATTTTTTTATTCCTGATCTCTGAACAGTATGAGAAAGTAGAAAACTAGTTGATTAAAGCCAAAGAGGTTTGCTTCATTTCATTAAATCACTGTGAGGATTAAGATTGGTTGGCAACTTTTTAAAAGTTAAAGTCATTTAAAAAAATTGCGACTTGAGAATTCTCTAGCATCTTGTGAGTAGGCCATCTGTGGTTACTCCGGAACTGAGGCTGCGTTTACAGATTATCCAGATCCTCGCTTCTCCCCGCACTCTATCCCCATGGTTGGGGCCTTAGCTTTTGTCTGTCACTTATTGTCTTCCTTCACTCTCTCCCTTCCTTCTTTCTCGATATTTATTGACCTCCCGTTCCATGTCAGGAACAGTGCCAGTCATTGGGAATGAAAACAAAAATAAAGGAAGATGGACTTGTGGCTCCCCAAATCAGCATTGTTGGAGCACAGAATTCTGAGAAACGAAAATTTGGGAGTGAGTGAAATGGTGGAGTGGGGCTGGGAGGGTTAGATGTGTCAAAAAGGTGAAGCTTGGTGGCTGCCCTGGTGGCATCATGGCTAAGTTTATGTGCTCCATTTCAGCGGCCCAGGGTTTGTGGGTTCAGACCCTGGGCGTGCACCTACACACCACTCATTAAGCCATGCTGTGGCGGCATCCCACATACAAAATGGAGGAAGATTGGCACAGATGTTAGCTCAGGGCCAGTCTTCCTCACATACAAAAAAAGGTGAAGTTTGGGTGAGATTTAAATAAGGTAGAGTTCTTCGAGCAAACAAGGGCAGGGTGACATTCTAGAGATAGAGAATACCATTTGAAAAGGCGCATAAGTGAGAAAGAGTCCAAGGAAAGGTGGGGCTTGTGTGATTGGAGCCTGGGGCCTTGTGGAGAAGAGGCAGGGGCTATAGAGGGAATCACAGGCCAGGTCCTGAGCCGCTGCCACCAATGTAATTTCTCCATCATTCTGTGGATAGTGAATCAGGCAACTGAAGCTCTATTATTCTGTGTTGTTACTTTTTAAATTTAGCAGGGTAGATTGCAGCTAGGTTTATAACTATGGCTAAAGGAGGTGCCATCTTCCCCTGTCACCCATACATTTTCTAGCTGGCTGTCACTCCGTGAGTACTTTAACCCTTTGAGGGTCATGAGAACCTTTAGGTCTCTTTAATAGATAGTTTCCATCATTTGGTATGCCGGACTTCTGGCCTGGTGACACCCTGATCACCTTCTTTTTTTTTTTTTTTTTTTAAAGATTTTTTATTTTTTCCTTTTTCTCCCCAAAGCCCCCCGGTACATAGTTGTGTATTCTTCATTGTGGGTTCTTCTAGTTGTGGCACGTGGGACGCCGCCTCAGCGTGGTCTGATGAGCAGTGCCATGTCCGCGCCCAGGACTCGAACCAACGAAACACTGGGCCGCCTGCTGCGGAGCGCACGAACTTAACCACTCGGCCACGGGGCCAGCCCCCTGATCACCTTCTTGGGTCAGGTGCTCCAGGCACACCTGAGGCCATGGGCACAAATGTGAGGAGACTACTCAGATATGTTGTACCAGTTCAGCAAAAAGTCTGCTATCTTAGAAGAAAGACGATATATAAAAATTGAAACCTTGCTAAGGAGAAAGAATTCAAATCCGTAGTTCTCTAAAACAAGTATGCTCTGAACTCACCAACTTGCCAAGAAGTCCTTCCTCTTGCATGAGAAAATAAGCTGCATTTCTATTACTCTCATGCACAAACCTCCTAACTCTTTATCATACAGAATCATATATAGTCAGTTTAGATGAAGCAGCAAAGAAAGCTTAAAGACTGATTTGTTAGTGAACGTGATATAGTAAATCTCTACCAAACAAACTAAATTTGTAGGGTAATTGGAGCTCTCTGTTGAAGTTCTTTTCTCAAATGTCATATACTAAGGATATCTTACTTCTTTTCTTCAGGTTCAATTGGCAGAATTTCTAGAAAACTTACAGGAAAAGTCCTTGAGGATTGAAGCCTTCGTTAGTGAGATAGAATCCTTTTTTAACACCATTGAAGTAAGTTACCATATTCCTTTTTCTTTAACCTGGTTTGTTCACAGCATCACAAGTGAATGACTCTGAGCTAAAAGGATCTGCACTGGGCTTTGTGTGTGCATGTGTGGTTTGCCATTGTTGGTTTTGTTCCATTAAAAGTGAAGGTCCTTGGAGTCTTCCCTCTGTGTAATCAGTGAGACTGCTTTCTGTCTGAGGATAGATGATGTGCCCTTGAAAACACATATGCATTTATTGGACGCTTACTATGATAGAGCAAATGCTTTACGTGCTTTATCCAATTTAATCCTCGCAATAACCATAAAGATAGGTGTTATTATTATTGTTCCCATTTTATAGATAAGAAACTGAGACTTAGAGTTAAGTATGTTACCCAAGGTCATAGTAAGTTGACAGTAAGTTGAGAGCCAAGATTTGAATTCAGGTCTGAGTTTTTACTTGCTCCACCATCTTGCCTTTCACCGGATTAGCTCTGCAGAGATGCCCTAAGTCTCTGCCCAGTGTCCCATGCCCAGGACAAATGAATGTCTCTCATGGTATCAGTGTCTTTGATGAGTTCCTACTGTCCTAGCTGCTGGCCCCTGCTCCCTTCGCAGTGAAGGGAGTGGGTAGCCATGCTCCAGCCACGTACGGAGATGGCCCAGGCCTCCTCACCTGTCAGTCAGGAGTGGCAGAGGGACCATGCAGAAGGCTGGGGCCCAGTTTCCCTATCACTAGGGTGGCTCCACATCTTAGTTTGCTTGGGAGAGGTCTGCTTAACTCCTGTTGTAGATCAGTTAACACCTGCTAATTATTTTTGTGCCCCTCCCACAAAGCGTCCCTTTTAGAAAGTAAATTCTGTGATCATTTGATCACTAGCCCTCTCATGAGGACAGCCACGCATCTGGGATTGTTCAGATGGGCAATAAAGTTTCTCCCACTGTGGTGGGACGGCCGCCTCCCTGGAGAGCGTTCATGAATGTAGCACCCTGTCCAATATCCTGGCTGCTCCCTCCCTAACACTATGATTTAGTGGAGCAACAGAAATGACACTGAACCCTCTCCACTGCCTGGAGGGCACAGACCTCCATTCACTGGGATGCCATTTTCAAGTTTTATCACGTGGGAACGCAGGTGGGCAAGATTTCCATACAAATATCTTTTTTATGTGTCTCATTAACTAAATCCTTCATGATAATCCTCTTACAGTGAATTCTATTGCAAAGCTAACTATGGCAAAGGGGATTGGTGGGTTGGAAATTCAGACTGTGCACATAATCTGTGATTCTCTTATCAGGATGCCAGGGATCAATTCTTTAAAAGGTTGGTGTTTCTCTTTGGAAAAAAAAAAAAGACATACACTTCTTGTTCCATTAAGAAGTGTTTTGTTTTGTTTTTTAGGAAAATTGTAGTAAAAAGGAGAAAAGGCTAGAAGAGCAGAATGAGGAAATGATGAAGAAGGTTTTAGCACAGTATGATGAGAAAGCCCAGAGCTTTGAGGAAGTGAAGAAAAAGAAGATGGAGTTCCTGCATGACCAGATGGTCCACTTTCTGCAGAGCATGGACACTGCCAAGGACACCCTGGAGACCATCGTGAGAGAAGCAGAGGAGCTTGACGAGACCGTTTTCCTGGCTGTAAGCACCAATTCGAACAGTCCACATACCTTACACCCACTCTGGCCCGAGTCTACTTTTAAAAATTCATCTTTCAGTATTCCCTAAGATCATTTATATCTCTGTGGGGAGTTTATATAATTCTGACATTTGAAAATTATTAGGGCATGCTCAATGCCTACAGAAAAGGCCCAGCAAATCCTTAAAGACTTAACACCCAGATCCAGCTGAAGGATACTTGGAAGTGAAGCCACAGCATCATCTGTCCGTTCTGTCACAATGGATTGATCCCCTTCTAAGAGAGAGGGAAAGCAGTCTGAAAACCTTACTCATGCTTTCCCCTTGGGCGCCAGCCTGATCTTCCAGTGCCTGGCATCCTCATGCTGGCCCCTGGGCCTGTCCTCTCCACTCCCACTCCCTAATCTGAAGTAGCCTCTCACAGGGACCATTCCCTCAGAGCCTTGTCAAGGGGCTGAGAGTAACATTTTGGCACACTTTCAGCATGCAAAATGATGACATAATGTGATACCTCTCAAGTAGCGTGTTGATGTTTTTACAAGGGTCTTCCTGGGGACCAGATTCCTTAATTCAAACAAGTACCTTGTAGACTAAGGTTCCCTGGGGGTGCACCTCAAGTTGCAGCACAGAGGCAGCCCTTTGCTTTCTTAATTCCCTTGAATGTTCAGTAAGATATTGGTTCTCCATGGAGCCAGGATTGACCAGGGGTAGTAGAGATGTTTTCCCTGGGGGCAGTCCCAAGCCTAATTGTCAAACTGGAGGAAAGCACCATCTTATGATGAGTGCGGACTTCCCTTTCAAAGCTCCCCAGTCCTCGCACCCCTCTGGTAAAGTTTGGAGATAGAGCAAGGCAAAATGGGGCAATATTAGGCTTTTGGTGTGCCTTTGGGGACACCTCCAGCCAGGACGAAATTGGGTGAGGTGCACATGGCATCCTCAAAGGAGAATGAAAATCATCCGGTTGCTTTATGTTTAATTAAGGCAAAGCTCTAATATTTTAAAATTAGAAACCTCTTGTGAAGTATAACATTAGTAAAGTGCTTTGTGTTCCTGAAGAACTTTACCTTTGTTTGATGAGAATATTTCCTTCTCTTCAGAAGAACAAATTGTGAAAAAGAAAGCATGCTTTTTCTGCTTATAGAAGTAATATGTATCCATTTTAGAAAATTTGGAAAATACAGAAAAGCACAGAGAAGGTATACCCAGAGATAACTACTGATTACATTTTGGTATATATCCCACATTGAACAAATTTAAATCATTTTTCTTGCTTTGGAGCGTTCTATTCTGGAAGCTGAGCCATTTGTTGATGAATAGAGAGAAGCACAAGCAACTTGTTGCCAGCCTTGCTGACTATAGGGAGTAGAGCAGACCTAGAAACGAAAGCCCCTGCCACCCTGCCCAGACGCCCACCCCCACCCCTTCTGAGGGCTAATTTCCTTCCTGCCCAGGCTGAAGGCACCCAAGAGAAACAGCCTCAGGGGAAGCTGAGCAGTCAGGATTGTGTAACAGGCATATCTTAACGCTCTAGGTTGGTTTTTCTGTTTGTTGTTAATTAGTTCTCTCTCTCTTTCTCTCTTTCTCTTTGTTTTTTTCCGTTCCCCCATAAGTCGTTTGAGGAAATCAATGAAAGGTATATAAAACATGGCACAATGTAGTGGCAACTGAGAATAGCATGACTGTATGCCTTCTTTTTAATATTTTGATGCTTTATAGAAAATGAGCTGCCATTTAAAAAATACATACATTGATTTAGTGAGCTACTGGATTTTCACTTTTAGACACCGTGCTTTTAAAAGCTAAATGACAGCTTTGAAAAAAATTGCATGTGCTTTAGTTAAATAACGATTATCATAATGTAGATTTTTAACTGCTTCCTTGAGATGTTTTCTGTATTTTCATCCTAATCTAGAACACCTTTCCTGTCACTGCATACAGAACATCTTGTAGATACTTAGACTTATTGGTTAAATATGAATATCGGAAAGAATCATTCATATCTGCCTTGAGTAATTTTATGACTTACATAATCTTAATGGAATGTTCTCTCATTTTCTTTTCAAAGATAGGCATGCATTTATGTTCTCTTTCTGCTCAGCTAACTTAGATGAAACTTCCTCTTTTGATTTTGTTTTGTTGTTGTTTTTAACACTCAATCTAAGAGAAATTCTTCATTTGTTTAAGAGACAAAACACTCAACAAGAAATTAGGAAATGTTGTCTATAAAAACACATAAGTCAGATCTACGTTTATCTTTTGGAGCATCTGATGTTGAAATGCTCACGCTAATCTGACACATTTTCGCATAGCAAGCCCTGAGGTCTTTCCTACTGGTTGAGCCTAATGTTTTTATTATTTTTAGCTCTTTAATGTAAATTTCTAAAATTGTAAATATTATCTACAGATTACTTCAATGCCAAATTGTGAAATAGCATAAAGTAAAATAAAAAAATTTGTATTTGTGATACATTAAAATATAGAAAAATGGGTTTGGATTAGAAACTTGATTTTTTTAAATAATGAAAACCGCACAGATGAATCCTGTTTATCTTAAAAAAATCTATTCAACAGAATACTGCCAATAAGTTTTAAGAAAATAATTTGTATATTAATCTTGGCTGAATCACTAAGAGTTTTATTACAGTGGCTCTGCTATAAATAGAATTACCCAGGGAGCTTTAAAAAATGCTGATGCCTGCATCTCACCTCCTGAGATTCTGGTTTAACTGGTCTGGGGTGTGACCTGGGCATTTTTGAAGCTTCCTAGGTGATTTTAATGCACAGCCAGGGTTGAGGACTTCTGGTTTATAACAATCTGTCCTCTGGCCCAGTGGTTCCCAAAAGTGACTGTGCCTGAATTACCTGTGTGGTTTGTTAAACCAAAGCCCCAGGAGCCCCACCTCAGACCCACTGCATGGGAATCCAGGGTGGGACGAGGCATCTGCTTGTGTACCAATTCTCACACAGGAGTCCGAGGTGCGCAGGGGGGTCTGGAAACTGATACCCAGGCCTTGCTCCCAGTTTCCTTTATTTTTGAAAAATTATACATTCTTCTGAATATTGTTGATATTTATTTTTATCCAAAAGTGTATGGATTTATTGTGCCATTCCATATTCACTGGACAGGGTAGATGTGTGTTTATTTATTTATATTTCATCCACTCATGGAAGGTACTGATTGGCAGGGAAATTTGGTGAATGAAAATTTGCAAATGCTTTTACCTTAAAAAATGCTGTAGTACCTTTTTACTTTTCTAAATGTTAGAATATTAACTTGATAATTTGAAGTGACATCTATTTAATTCTAAATACCATTTCTTTGGTTTCCTGCTTGAACTTGCTCATCTGTGTGTCATTTTAGTTAATTTTGATTTCTTTGTCCAATTGACAATGAATTAATCTTTGTTAAAGCTGCATGTCACCAAAAGGAGCATACACTTGGGATAAGCATTATGTTTCTGTAAAGAAAAAGGACAACAAAATTCAGGATTCAGTGAAGAAATGTGAGCAATTAAGAAAGCCCTGTTAAACATGCACGTGCACACACACACACACACACACACACACACACACACACACGATGAAGCTTGATAGTTTCACTAAGAAGCTGCCTTTCATGTCCTCAGGACAACTTCTGCCTCACAGCCTCCATGTTCTTGGTGTTCCTTTCTATGAGAAGAGCTAATTAGCTGGCTTTTTACCCTGCTTCTGCTTTGCCCTCCCTTCATATTATATCTCTAAAGGCAATGCTTGTATATTAAATGATTTTTCTCGACACTGAAAATGCTTCAATTAAGGAATGCTGTCAAGCATATTTAGACTCAAAATTTGCAGATTTTGAAAAACACGTTTGCTTAGAAATTGCTGCTCTGTTAAGAAGATGCATTTTTTCCTCTGTCTGGCTCTTTTGTGTTATAATAATGAAAAAGAAAGAGAGTCACCACCATTGTAGGACTTGCTCATGAAAAGATGTCCGCTTGCCCTTTCACATACTGACATTAAAATTGGACAGGTCAGTGCATGAGGGAAAAAAACCTTTTACTTGTGGTGTCTACGACCAGAGCTTTTGTGCGACGAAATGTGCTCCGTTTAGTCAGCAACGTGTATGGAGAGGGCTTAGCGTGAGTACTGGGCACCATTGTTCGTTCATCCCGAGTCTGTCATTGCAGCCCCAAAGCTGTAATTTAAGTTCAGGTTGTCTTCCCTCACCCAGAGTGTTGTGAGGTCCCCCAACTGACCTTACCACCTCTATCTACTTGCCCTGGTCCTTCCTCAGACGTCTGCCAGGGTATTCTTCTAAGCTTCCCTTGTGTAAACACTTCTGTGGCTCTCCCTGCCTTAAAAGATAAAATGGAAACTCTTGGTGGATGTGAAAGGCTCGTCACAGTCAAGGCATAAACACCCTTTCAGTTTCATCTGTGTCTCTGTTTCCTGGTTCTCCAGGTAGCCCACAGGGCCCTCTGGCCCTTGAATGTGCCATTATCTTCCCCAACTTCCATGCCTTTGTTCATGCTGTCCTTCTGTCTACAGCACCCTTACTCCCTTGTTCTGTCTGGGAAACTCCTGCTCCTTTAAGATTCAGCCCAAATGTCACCTCCTCTTTGAAGCCGCTATTGGAACCATCCCCCCTAAATCAGATGATAGTGAATTTTATTATTTCTAACAATAGTCAGCGTAGTGGGCACTCTTTAAATGTTTCAGTTGTATTTTATAACCCTTTTCCTTTACACTGATAAAAAATTTACTAGACCTCAGATCCTGATAATCTCACCCAAATGAAACTTTGTCCTCTATTCGTTCAAAATATATTTATTAAATGCCTCCTTTGTGCCAAGGAACACATTACAGCCCAGTAGTGAACAAAACAAAGTCCTTTCCTGCATGTAGATTATATCCTGGTGAAGTAGAAGGACAAAACAAATAGGTCGGGATATGTTTGAGGAAGTTAAACGCAGCAGAGTGAGGGTAGAGATGGCAGGCGATGCTGTGGGAGTAGAGCACTTGGGCCTGGCCTCTCGAAGGAGTGGACGTTTGGACAGAGGTCTAATTTAAGTGAGGAAGGAGCCATGCAAGTATCTAGAAGAAAGTTCCAACAGCAAGCACAAAGGCTTGGATGTGCGTCTCTTCTGCTCAAACCCAAAAGTCCATGATAACGAAGCCGATGGAGTTCTTCAAAGCTGGCTTAGGGGCTGGCCCCGTGGTGTTGTGGCTAAGTTTGTGTGCTCTGCTTCGGGGGCTGGGGGTTTGCTGGTTTGCATCCTGGGTGTGGACCTAGCACTGCTCGTCAAGCCATGCTGCGGCGTCATCCCACATAAAATAGAGGAAGATTGGCACTGATGTTATCTCAGCAACAATCTTCCTCAAGCAAAAAGAAGAAGATTGGCGACACATGTTGGTTCAGGGCCAATCTTCCTCACCAAAAAAAAGAGGGAAAAAAAAGCTGGCTTAATTGCTGGAAGATAATTCCAGCCCTTGTGAGTGAGGTGCACAGAGGGGAGCTCCTAACCAAATTTCAGGCCCCTCATGCTAAAGATACATGCTTTTGCAATCTCTCCTTCCCCTTTGCCCTCTTCTGAATCAAACACTTTTTTTTTAAACCCAGATTTCACCTGGATACAAATGCTAAGAGTTAGTATTTGTTGGCATGCCTCCTCAGAGGGTCTTGAGTATATAAAAGCTATTAATTTATAACCTGTGGCTGGTATAGTCTCTTAAGAATGGATAGGCTTTATCCTCCTTCCCTGTTGTACCCCCAGTACCCTCAAGAGTGCCTGGTACATAGCAGGTGAACATATTATTTGAAAGACAATGACTAGAAATGTAATAGTGGGGGTTGAGAGCAGCAAGGACATCATAGAGTGTGTGAATTTCTAGGCAGGCTCTAAACTTTTATATCTATAGGAAATAAATAAGAATAATCTTTAAAATGTAGGAATTTTTAAGATTAACTTTATAGATGCAAAATTAAGACATATAATTTGATGGGATCTAGTCAGATTTGAGGAAATAGGAATGGAATTCCTAATGTTTTCAGTTGCACCAAAGAATCCTAAGAATAAATAGATTTTAGACATATATTTCTAGACTTTGAAGCAGTTTCAATCCCTTTTGGATACAATACCTCCCAAAAAACACCACCACCAACTTCATTTTGAACAATTGTTTTTTGTTTTGATTCTGTATGTTAATAATTTCTTGACTCATTTAGGAATATTTTCCTCCAATAGGTTGCTTTCTGCAATGGAGAGCACCGCTTCTTTAGAGAAAATGCCTGCTGCGTTCTCACTTTTTGAACATTATGATGACAGCTCGGCAAGAAGTGACCAGATGTTAAAACAAGTGGCCGGTAGGAATTTTAATGTATTAATCACCTTGATGAGACTGGACAGTTTTTCCTTGTTTGTTTCGTAAAGTTTTTGAATGTAAGGAAATATAACTGGAAAAAGAAAAAAAAAAGAAAAATTTTAGTTGTAAAAGTTTAAAGCTACGTTCTGAAGTAGAGCATGAGGCTAGCGTGCCGTTTCAGGTGCAAACTGCGTTTCCATTTCAAGCTCTGTGACGGTGCTGGGATGGTGAGGAGATGGGAGGAGGTAGCAATGGAACCAAAGGGTCTCCTCTTTTTTTCCTTTTAAAATAGAATTTCTCTCCCTCTCTTCTAGAGGTCGTTTGCTTCATGCCAGCAGCCAGGTATAGAGGAAAAAATAAATAAAATATTTTCCTGTGTGTTGAGCAGATTTTTCCTTGAGAATGGTTTCCCCCTCTTCAACTGAGTCCTTTTTCCTTTTTTCAAACTAAACAGATTAGCTTTGAGAAATAACAGCTCAGCAGCATGCTCTGTAGCCAGGAGCCTCCCACTCAGCTGTCAGAGCATCCTGCCGGCTCTTCAAAATATTTTTTAATGTGCTATTTTAACAAACAAGACAATGAAACTCATTTAGATATCTCAAAGCTGCTGGGTCTCAGTGAAGTTACCAGGTTTTACTTACTGTAAAATGTACTCAGACGTCCTCCTTAAAAGATGCTGTGTTCTTTCAAAGCCGTCTTAAAAATGACTGCTGTTTTTAAATTGACAATTAACTTTCATTTCTGTAGGAAGAGTTTTAGTTTAGTAACTAGTAAAAGGCTACCCACCATGTCTTTAAAAAGACCAAAAAAGCCCCACCAACCCTATATAATGTGAAAAATTCAGTCATTTATCCCAATGGATTTTCTCTGGAAATGTCTCAAAACAAAAGGATGTTTTCCTGTAAAGTCTCAAAGAGGCATTTTAACAGAGCAGTGATTGCAACCTAAGATATTTCATTAACAGAGTAGATCTTTTGCTTTTAAGGGGTTGGTTATATGCTGTTGTTCATTAGAAGGATATTCTTTTGAATATCTGAGGGGCAGTGAGAGGACATTTTCTATATTTTAGAGGTCACAGTGTTAAATTGTCACAAAGTGTTAATGATTCACTGAGAAATAGTGCATGTGGCATCCCAGTCGTTCCAAGCTGTTTATGGAGACCGATCTCTGAGATAGAAATGCTGTGCGTCGTGCATCTGCTTTACAGAATCAGAGCCCAGGGTGTTGACTTGATGTTAAAGAGTTTCGGTTCATTTTGTGACCAATGACGCCTCTCAGATTTAAAGTCCTCACCTGGTACCTGAAAAGTTAATCTGATCACTCCCTAAACTAAACAGACATGATGAGGAAAGTATGTGACTTTTCCATGGAGAAGCAGAGCAGCCCCCACCGTTTCTCCGGTGCCTGGCACTGTTAAGCATATCCTATCATCTAATCTCGCAACAACCCTGGGAGGCTGGTTTTATTGTCATTCCCACTTGACAGGTGAGGAAATAGAGGGAACAGAAAAATGTCTGTCACGTTGCCATAGATACAGGAATTTGGGAGGAGGAGGTGGTGGAGGAGTTTGGTTTCAGAGTCTTTGCACTTGAACCTGCTCTACACCAAAGAGGCAAGTGCATTGCTGTGAAAGGAGGGATCACCATAGATTAGCGACATCCCAGGTCTCTTTGACTGGCTCCTGGGGATTTTGTTTTTTGGTTGTGGTAAAATATACATAACATAAAGATTCCATCATGACCACTTTGAAGTTCACGGTTCAGTGGTATTAAGTACGTTCGTGTTGTTGTACAACCATCACCACTATGCCTCTCCAGAATTCTTTTCATTTCCCCGTTTCCCCTTACCCTCAGCCACTGGCAACCACTATTCTACTTTCTGTCTCTGAATTTGACTACTCTATGTACCTCATATAAGTGGAATCATGCACTGTTTGTCTTTTTGTGACTGGTGTATCTCACTTAGCATAATGTCCTCAAGGCTCATCCACATTGTAGCATGTGTCAGAATGTCCTTCCTTTTTAAGGCTGAATAACATTCCATTGTATGTCTGTACTGCATTTTGCTTATCCATTCGCCCTTCAAGGTATACTTGGGTTGCTCCCACCTTTTGGCTATTGTGAATAATGTTGCTCTTCTGGGTGCTTTTTGAAAGCTAGGCTGAGTGGGAATCTGTATCTGGACCACCCAGGTCCTGAAGTCCAAGTTGATCTAACACTCAGCTCCCTTCATGGGACAGCTCTTTATGGGCACACTCCATCAGGCAGAGGGGATCCGTGGGGTGATTCATCTGCCCAATTCCTTAGCCTCTGGCAAGGAAACCTTAAAATCTCATTTTGTATTTTTTGGCATTGCTCCTATTCAAGTTCATTACTACAGAGTGGAAACCAAGTTGCTAACATATAAAATCTGGGTCTCTGATGTTCTCCCTTCACGCAGGAATTGTGAATCCAGCCATCATTATTAGACTACATCTATGGAATATTCTTACTCCTTCTTAATTTCAGAATACTTCAAAAGTAAAAACGTTTCCTCCTTTTGAAAAAAGATGTTTTAACTTTAATGTTTTTCGGGGAAGGAGCACATTAGGTACAAAATTATTCCTAGCCTACATGCTTTGCTTAATTCCCTACAATTGCTTCTTCCTTAGAATGTGTTGATTTTGAGGGGTCAATTATCGACTTTTAAGTTTGGTAAGCTATCTGAGAGAGAGAGTTTTGAAAAGATGTTACCACTTTTAAAAAGCAGATATAGCTAAATGTATATTTCATAGAAAAATGGGGAGTATTTTCACTGTTCATGCCTCAAGGAATTCTCCAACGCTGCTTCAAAGACGACTGACAATAGTTGAAGCATCCTATTTGGCTCTTCCATAAATGTGGGCAACATGAAAATTTACTGAACTGCACTTGTCTGGATGGACTCCACTAGAATGTGACACTGGTTTCCTGCTGGGAAGACAAACAGAAACGTCAAAGATAGTAGAAGGGACTCTGAACCCTTGTCAGTCCTTGGGGAGGTGCTCTGACACGCAGGCTTCCTGCCTTCCCATGCAGCCGGCTCCCCTCTGTAGCCCCTCTGTGATTCCCCAGGTGGTAGGTCCCTAATTCGACTCCCATCTTCAGGGGCTTCCTGCCTTCTCCCCTCTGTTTTCCATGCTTCTGCTAAGGCTGTTTTGCCTTCTGAACGTTAACACTGGTTATGTGTCAGGCACTTCACTAAGCATTTAATATAGATTATCTTGCTTCTAACAACAGCCCTGGGAGGGAATAATGTTATTAATTGTTGTTTCCCATTTTAAAAATGGGGAAAGTGAGGCTCAGGAATGCAGCTAGTAAGCAGGGGATCTGGTATTTGACCCTCCGCCAGCCTCTCTGCTCTGAAGCCGGTGAACTTCACCATTCCCTTATCCTGCTTCTCATTTTCATCCCTGTGTGTATCCTCACCTCTTCACCTCTTTATTGAATCTTTTCAGTGTGTCCCTTTTTGTTCCCTTCTTTGGACCCGTTTATAGTTTTCTCCTTTTTACCTTCTTCCTAACTTTTGTTTTCTTTTCCTTCATTGTTAAATTTTAATAAGGTAATCTCACAAAATTTGACCCGTATTGTTTCAGTAAGCTTATCTCTCAGGAAATTGTTGATTGGAAAAAACCCCACAAAAATAAATTTAAAAGGATGACATCTTTTCAACGGTGGGAATAACCTCTTCCTCTAATTTGTAAAACACGTTCAGTGCTTTTGTATCTCAAAAATTTTGGAGGAGAATTGCATAGGAGTTTGATTTATGGTGTTGTATATACCATTAACGTTCAATATGCATAATTACAAACTTTTAAAATCTCTAGTTAAACACTTGAGCATATTGTCTTTAAAATTTAGAAAAAAAGAGTTATACTAGATATCTAAATCTTATATTTGAATCAGTTAACAGGGTACTTTCTCCCCTATGTAATTTCTACATTTTGTTTAATTTTTGAAAAACTTATAGATATGGGCATGTTGGAAAGAGAAAATAGGATAGTAGTTTCAGAAAGTGTATTTTGATATTTTATTCATGCAAGTCTTTTTCAGCCTTGGTGATATAACAACCATAGCTAAAAAGGGCTTCCATTGTCTCTTTTGTGAATATAGACTCTATGTGTTAGCGCCTACAAACATAGGTTCCCTACCTGCCACACAAGAGGGGCCAAATAAAAACTGGAACGCCAGGCTTATGGCAAGGAGAGGGGTTTTTATTTCGGGTGGTATCAGCTAGGAGATGAGAGTGAGCCCTCAAATTTGTCGTGTTTCGTCTTGTCTCCCCGAAAGGGAGGCCAGGGGTTTTAAACATTTGTGAGGAATGTGGCTGCTTGTTGGTGTGGGGGTGGCGGGGGGAGGGGGGGAGGGAGGAGGGGGGAGGACGGGAGTCAGTGGGCTTGCTCGTTGGAGCTTTCCCAGTAGCCTGACTTTGGCCTTGGGACGCTGCTTCCAGGGGAGGAGGATGATAAGGGAATTTGCAGGTAGGTGACCTTGGCTCTTTGTCTCTATGGTGGATAGTGGATTCTGCAGCCAGGGAGTCAGGGAGTAAGCAGGGAATGAGTGCTTTGGTTTTAACCCTGCATATACTGAGTTTAATGTAGGGGAACTGATACCAGGGACAACATCATATGTAGAACGATATAGTGCTGGTTATCTAGAAAAGCATACTCAAGTTTTTGTTTTGAAGACAAACCAAATCATTTGATGCATCCTCTAACCTGTATACGTTTGTTGCTCTAAATACAGGACTACAGAAGAATATTACCTGGGGATTCATTTTTGTTTACGTCTGTGTGTGTTATCTGTGCACATGCACAAATGTACAGAGAACATTTTGGAGGGATACACTTAACTGCAACAGTGCTTGCCTCCAAGGAATATCCTTTGGGTTGGAGGCGTTGGGAACAAGGGAGCCTTCCCACTTTTACTCCATGTATTTCTGTGTTGTTTGAATTCTTTTTAATAAGCATAGGTGACTTTTGCAAAAATAAAAAGATCAATCAATAAAAACAGCATTAGTTATAGTAAATCTGTCTTATATTCCAGTTCCACAGCCTCCAAGACTAGAACCTCAGGAACCAAATTCTGCCACTAGCACGACGATTGCAGTTTATTGGAGCATGAATAAGGAAGACGTTGTTGACTCCTTCCAGGTTTACTGCATGGAGGAGCCACAGGATGACCAAGAAGTAAACGGTAGGATTGCTAACACAAACACAGGAGCCTGTGTACATTCCTGCATCTTAATGTGAAGTCTTTAAACGTTCACCTATTATAACTTTTTCCACAAAGCACTGATGGCCACTTACAAGAACAACAACAACAAACCAACCGCCATATAATGAAATAACACAGAAGCAAAATTTGCATATCAGGATCACAAAACACAAAAATGCATAAATATCATCATAGTGGTCGACATGAATATTGTAATTGACATTCAAATTTAATAGCTTTGAGCTCTCAGGATAACAGGAGCAATTAAGTGATTCTCATTTTCCAGAAGGAGGTAACATACCAGAGTTTCAGGGACAGCAAAGTTTCAGTTAGTACTGAAATCTAAAAGACAAGTGTAGTGTGTGCTTCTTTGTAGAGAAGAAATGAGCTGTATGTAGGACAGTGTCTTCTACCACAATTTTAGTGCAAATGCAGTATTGGGTGTCATTGTTGGCATTTTCTCAATCCACCTTTGATAAAAGCTACAAACAAGCTATAAAGGTTAATTCAGAGTTCACACTTCTCAAGGCATGGGCCTAGGTACGGTGTAGACTTCTGGTGTCCCAAACTAATGTGCAGATAGAGGTGAAAGTGCAGAGTGGAGTGACTGGATGGCACGTCTTAGAGTTGAGCCTCTGTAAATATCTCTCTGTTGAGTAGGACTTCTTTTAGGACCCAGGAGCCAGGCACGCTGAGGTCGTGATCCCTGATGCTTCAGGGTTGGGAGTGCTGGCATTCCGTGTTGCTTGCTGAAGACGGAACCATCTATTTTGGAAACTAGCTCAGCACGCGGCAGGATAGACATGCCACAGGAGCCCAATTTGTAATAAGAAATACTGTATTTCACTGTTAGTGATATTTAAATCTTTCGAGATGTCATGTGATACTTATTTGAATTTTTAAGAAGTAAAAAAAGCAACCATGGGCATAGTGTAAAGTTAGCCAGGTTTGTCCATAGGAAATCCTGTTTTACTGGGGACCTATTACCGTATACCTGTCACAACACTTCACGCCACACTGCATCTCCCTGTATGTCCAGTTATATCAGGGAGCTTCCTGGCTCTCAAGACGCCTCTTAACAACTATTTGTTGCCTGGAATACTTTTTTTAAGTGCTTTACCTTCCCCACTACCCCCCAAACACTTACTTGTCCTGTGTCTCATTCTCCAACGCCTCTGCTGATGCCAGTTAGCTAATCCGATGATCTATACTGTGCCACCATGCTACATGTAATGGGTCTCCAGTCACGTATGTTACGAGTGTTGTTAGAAGGAGTACCGGGGTATCAGGACGTAGCCTCAAAGGCTGATTCCATTGAAAACTGCAGTCACACTTTCTAGGCTATGGGGGAACGTTTTTCAGTGTATAAGTCCTTATGACGTTATTTAAACCAAACTATCTGTCCAGCAAGTATAGCTCACTGGGAAAGAGAGATGCAGTTGAAGGAAGCTGCTGAGTTGAAGAGCTCCTAAATTTTCTTTAAAAGGAAACAATCTGGGTTTCTTAACTGGAGGGGTTTTGAAGATGTGTCATTCAAGACCAATGAGGGAGGAGAACTGAAATGACCAGAGGTTAATTTAAAAAACAAAATCATTCTTTTCAAAGGATGGAAAATTTCAGTAAGAGTAATCAGATTAGCCCAAAGGGGCAGGTGATCAGAATGGTATTGAGTACTATTTACTACTAAAATGCTGAAAGTAAGATAACTGAAGAACTTTAAAGAAATGTTTTGACTGAACAAAGTTACTTCTTAGAATAGTTTATGACCTATCGAAGTTATTTAAGTATTTCTATAACTTGAAGAAAGCTCTAGTTGAAAGAATTCTGGAATTCATGAGAAGGAACCAGGACTTGAAACTTCGAATCTGAAAACCATACTGAATACTAAAATGGTTTACCAATCTGTAAAGATGCTTTATAACATCATAAGCTTAGAAAACATAGAGTTGCCCTTATTTTATTACATACTTTCCTGAAATATTGGCATTGCTTCTTAAGAATTTTCTTGAGAGTGTATTACTGAGATTTAAGTTAACATAAACTCTGTGCAATTTTAGTATTTGCTATGGAAATAAGTTACTTTACCTGTGGTGCAGGAAGCTCAGAATCTTACTAATATGCTGTTGTTTTCTGATAAGTGTTCACAAGTAGTACCATGTCACTCCAAATATCTCTTTTCAGATGTTATTGCTTTGTTATGTATTCTAAAGTGCTAGCACTCACATAATGATATCTATACGTTTATCAGTTTGGGTTTTCCACTGAAAAAAGTCATAGACCAATTTTTCCAATAACTGTAACTTTCATTTAACTTTGGAAGACACCCTAGAGTTTGTGACTGTGTTTATTCTAGAGTTGGTCGAAGAATACAGAGTGACAGTGAAAGAAAGCTACTGTGTTTTTGAAGATCTGGAACCCGACCGGTGCTACCAAGTGTGGGTAATGGCTGTGAACTTTACCGGATGTAGCCTGCCCAGTGAAAGGGCAATTTTTAGAACAGGTAAGGAGATGTCACAGGGGTGTTACAAGGCAATACTCAATTCTTCACAGACTACAAGGTCAACCAGTAAGCATTTATTAAACACCTGTTGCATGCTGGGTGTTGTACAGTGCTGTGTATACAAGGATGAATAAGACTAGGTTCCTATTCTCAAGATGCTCATAGTCAAGTAGGGAAGATAGACAACAAAAGATCATACACAATTTGTGGTAAGGGCCATGATCCAGTTATGCACAGGTTATTATGAGAACACTCCAGAGGGTACCCGAAACAGTCTGGGGAAGGGGCAGGACCAGGATCAGCTTCCTAGAACTGATGCCTGAGCTACATCCTTGAGAGGATCAGTAGGAAGTCATGTGTTAAAGGAGTGTATTCCTTTTGAAGAAGACATATGAGCAGAGGCATCAAGGTGAGAAACAATATGGAGTGTGCAGAACAAGAGAAGAAGTTTGGTATTATTTCTTTGACTTAAAAACAAGGAGAGTAAAGACATGAGGTGAGAAAGGCTAGTGCGTAGACTCACATTTGCTGGGGTCAGAAGCCCAGTCTTCATCATCTGGGTGCTGGGAGCCCCCGCGTTTTCAGCAGCAGTAGTCAGCTGGGAGTGCATCCGTGATGGGATCTTTCCACAGGGCGCTGACGCAGGGGTAGCACAAGCTGAGTTTGCGTTGCCTTTTAGATCATTGCAACTACCTCAGGGGAAGCAATGACTTACTCCTGCCTTTTTATCCTTTCTTCTTGCCTTTTAAAGCGAATATTCACTAAGCACCTACTGGAGGCAAGATCATGGCTAACTTTTATGTAAAGGGAGGGGCACAAGAATCTTTATTTTTGTTTGCTTGTTTTTGTTATATGTATACATATAAAGAAACTCTGGTAGGATTTACAGGAAGCTAATATGAGAAGCTATCTGACTGGGGATGGATGAAAACTGGGCAATTTGGAAGGCAGGGTGGGAGTGAGACTTTTTACAATATAAATTTTTATACCTTTTGGGTTTTCAACCCAGAATGTATTTTTAAATCAAAAATTATATAAAATCATGCCCAGGCATTCTTCCCAGGGTACCAGGGAAGCAGAGCTGGTGTCGATTGTTCCACAGTTGACGTGGTTCTCTCTCTGCAGCACCCTCCACCCCTGTGATCTGTGCTGAGGACTGTACCGTGTGTTGGAACACGGCCACCATCCGATGGCGGCCTGCCAACCCGGAGGCCACAGAGACCTACACTCTGGAGTACTGCAGACAGCATTCCCCAGAGGGCGAGGGCCTCAGGTAAAGATCACCCTCCACGAGGAGACCCCTTTTCTCCATGGGGAGACCCAGGGGTGCCAGGAAGCTGGCTCAGGGCCATAAGCTAACCTCTGAGCTTCTGCTCAGAGGGAGAAGGGCTTCCCAAAAACCTGCTGAGCTAATTAAGCTGTTGTCTCTATTTGTAACTCCATCACTATTCGTCAATGAACTCCAAGTTTGTAATAAAACACATGCTACAAGGCAGAATAATAACTCCCTTGTAAGAAAAATGTATGTGAATTTTAATAACGTAGAACATTCTTTGAGTATATTTAACTTGAGTGATTAGACAGGATTTATGCATATTTTATGAACTTTTTAGTAGTTATATCAGAATAGGTACCACCTAACTCAGGAAACTAATACTGCGTTTGTATATAGTGTAAATCTGAGTGTTTCCATGGTATATCAGTAATATAAAGGAGCTAATTACATATGTATCATCGCAGAGACATACTCACCTCACCAAGAGCATGAAGAATCTAAAGAGGTTTTTCCAGGAAAAAAAGAAATATGAAGCTCTCCCACTAAAATTATTAAGCTAAAATTTATCAATAAAGGGGTATTTGTTAAACGTTAATTCATTTACTGAGGTGCTGTTATCTTAACCTCTAAGCCATGGCAATAAGGCAACTTCATGTTTCATGATGAATACTAGGATCACTATTGTTAATATTTACATTTTGATAGAGACATTTTTACCTTTTTTTAACCAAGTTCACTGAGATAAACTATTTTGGTAGGATAAGGAACTTAGAAATAACGGTATGAAATTAGAAAGCTTTTTAATAAACTGTATTGTTTAAGCTCTTGATTATCTTCATGATCAATCAATAACTGTTTATTTAGTTATGATGGGAGGTTTCATATGACTGAGCAATAATTATAGTTTCTTTCAAGTATGTGAAGACAGACTTCACAAAATAATGATCAAAGGATGCATTAAAGTGAAGTGGGCTGTGTATGGGTGGGATGTAGGCATTTCAGCAGAAGTGAGAACACAGTAACTCTACAAGACACAACATCTCCATTAATGTGCTGACTGCTAAAAGGCAGCCTTCAATAATCAGCAAATAGTGGAGAGGTGAACTCTGGCCAGGGTTGGGGGAAGGGAGGGAGGAAAGGAGGGAGAGAGACAGAGAGATTATAACTGATTTTTTTGGTCATTTACTGTGTGCTGGTGACTGTCCTGAGTGCTTTATACACATTGCCTTATTTAATGCTAACAAGAACTCGAAGAAAACAGACGCTTTGAGAGGCTACTTGGCTAGTGAGTAGCAATCAGGGTTCAAATCCTATTTTGTTAGATTTCAAAGTCCAAGCTGCTAACCCCTATTTAATGTCACTTAAGGGAGTCCTGGACCTTCTCTACAAACACCTATATCAGGAGTGCCCAAGTCCCTAGGCAGTCTCTCCCACCATTCTCCACCATCAGTGAAGAAAACCTAGCTCTTTCTGAGGCAATATCAGGCTGTTAAGGAGCACTCTGAAATGACTCATCCTTGTTACGGCATCGCTTCCCAGCTGGCATTTGCATAAATAATATCAGCACAGTTGGATTCTTAAATCAGCAGAAATCTGGAAACCCTGAGACCTAGTAGCCATCTCACTGAGGGAACTGTGATATCATCTCATAAATGTGGCTGCAGGGAGAAAGGAAAGGGGTGATGGGAGGGGAACTGGTGTTTACCAAGGACATTCAACATGCCAGGACCTGTGCTAACTCTCATTTAACCCTCTCAACAACCTAGGAGGGAGGTAATGATCTCCATTAAATGAGACTCAGAGAGGTTAAATAATTTGACCAAGATATTAACGGAGTGAACCAAGATATGACGGAGTGAAAGTTTGGAGTCAGGACTCAAATATCGATCTGCCTTATTCTTTCCACTAATTCTAGAACTTGTGTCATTACACGGACTGAGTCAGCATACCTCAACAGCCTGACAACTGGGAGTTACTGTGTATCTTTCATTTCCTTTGTCACATGAAAAACATAGATATATAAAGAGAATGCAGTACCATTCAGAACCCTTTGGTTAATGCTTTTCCTTTCCCTGATCATCCTGGGCCCTCAAAACTGAAAAAAAAAAAAAAAAAGAAAGTCTATTTGATATAAAAAATGAACAATGCATTCCAAACAAATCCTCTATCAAAACCAAATAAAGCAATGACAGTTCCATTTGTAGCAGAAAAAATGGCCATCCACTAATTTCATTAAGACAAACGTCTAGCTTATTAAAACATAAGACTTGTCATTAGTTTATTCTATTTGAGACTTTGCTAGTGGGTTCATTTTTATTTTTCTTGTTAAAGGAGAGCATCTGGGAGGCTGGATAAGCAGAAGTTTATAGGAGTTATGGCATAATAAAAGGCTCCTTTGTTATGGAATGGACAGAGTCCAGCAAGTTTAGAAATGAAGGGAAATTCCACATGCAGAGCCTTGTTGATAGTTTGGTGCTGTGTTGGAGATGGAGCTTTTCCCAATTAGGTGCTAAAAGACCCCTCAGTGCCAGAAGGTAGAATGGTATGTCCAATCCACAGCCCAGGGAAGACTCTCCAGTCTCTGGATCCCTGCTGAGTCTGACAACAGATAATTTTTTGAAGCAAGCAAAATTCTGTTGGCCACAAATCACTACCCTGTCCGTTTGCTCAGTCTGTTGCTGATGAACCACGTCAGAGTCATCCTTCATCGGCGCAAGAAGCCTCAAGGCCTTTACCCCAGGTTGGCATGAACAGACTGTGAAATAATTCATCCTTAATCGCAGAGGCCCAGGGCTGCAGAACTCATTTGTATCTCTTTTGGTTCTCCAATTTAAGAGTTCAGGAGGGAAGGAAATTTCTGCTCTTCTGGAGTGGCCATGTGTCCTAGGGCTTTTGACCATCTGGTTCTTACGACCAGCTTTAAAACGTTCCTTACAGTGCCTGATGGTTCACAACTCTATAAAACATTAACTATTTAACTGTAATCTATATTGCTCAAGCTCCAAGATGTCAGCTGTAGACAGATAGTAGAATTGATAAACAAAGAACCTCAAAACTTGATCACCTCTACCCAACAAATGCAAACAATCCCACTTTTCCATTTTATTAGAACCACATTCTTCACTTTGGTTCTTTGCACAGGAGTGCATAATTAGGGTTATTTTGTGTGTTGGAAAGAAGAGCAAGGCAAGGCCTGTCTGATCCCACTCACTTCTCGGCTCCATGAGGGGATCATTATGTGAAGCAGCAGCCTGAGTGCCTGGGACAGTGTCTGGCAAATTGTAGCTACTCAATAAATATGTGTTACCTGAACGTGTAAATATCAACTAGCATTGAACACAGAATACTGACACCAACAAGAAAAGTTAGGCCAGCTTTGAGGATAATCACTTATTCAAAATTGGAAAAGAAATAAACTGGGCCAACAAAGTAAAGAAGAATGGTGAATGAGTTAATTTCAGTGCTTGGATACTTAACTAGGAGAAAGGACTAGTGTAATCTGTGGGCTGGAAACATTTTCATGGGTCACTCATAGGGAAGGACACTTATAATCGTCTTTATCCATTGGTTACATAACACTTACATAGGTTCTAGGTTCTATACAAAAACCCTATGCTAAACCAGATCCAAAAATTGATCCAGAGGCCACTGCAGGGGAGTAAGGGGGATCAAAGATTGCTTCTGTTTGATGTGGCTCCATTTGACTGGGTGAGGATGGGAACCTTATCTGTAAAGCGCTGTTTAATGAATGAATGAGTGGATGAATGGCAGGATTAGCCAATCTCCTTTAGCCCTTGCCAATTCCAAGTCATCTAACTGGCTGGAATCTCTGGCAAAGGAGAGAGGGAGAACTAAAAAGAACTAAGAACTAAATGAGTTCACATCCCTTTCTCACCCCCGATCCCTGAAAAGACAGACAGCCTTAAAAGCTCTGGTCTGAAGTAGGAGGAGAAGTTGAAAGGAAGTGAAATAAAGGGAGAAAGGGATGAGTAATATGAGCACACGCACACACACAGGGAGGGCATTGATTACCCTTTAGACTGGGGAGCCTAATTTTGGTTGCCAGAACAGAAACACATCCATCTTCAGACCTGCATTCATTCTCCCAGTATGATGGCCTCTAGATAGTCCAATGTAAGACCAGAGGTGTGGGTTGAACTCTTACAGTGGGTCTTTGAGTGGAATGAGCCTACTGTGACCCCAAATTCCATGACGCAGTGTCTGAAATACATAGCTGAGAAATTGCCTCCATTCCATAATCCTCATAGAAATCACATTTGCATATTTTGGTGTGTGGGCACCGTGGCTGAGTCCCAGAAGTCGGCCCCTATTGGGTTTGGGGGTGGGCGGGAGTGACAATCCCCGGCTTGTGTGCGGGGGCTGAGGGAGCTCCTACTCACCCTTTCCTGTTTTTCTTTGAATGCTCTCCTCAGGTTGGGTGGGCTCAAAACACTTTCAAAAATTTTCCACCGCTCTGCTGTTTCCTCAGCTGTTCTGTCTCTCCTGTGTGGAGAAAAGTCAGTAGAACTGTGGGTGGAGGAGGGAAAACTGAGAGAAATATAGTACAGGGATTAGCTGTGTGGGCTGTGCAGAGAGAAGCTGTGTACTGAATGACAAATCTGTGAGACTCAATACACCATGAAAGTCGTTGGTAGTGGACTTCCTGCTCCCCAGCCCTGGCCAAGGCTGTGAGCCGGGAGACCCTTCCTCAGGACCCCAGCCACCCTCCCCAGGAGCATCCCCAGGCTAGGATGGGGCCTGGACCTGTGAGCCCACGTTCCTCCTGCTTCCAGCTTTTGGAGCTACACATGGTGGGCAGGAACAGAACTGTCTGTCACAGTTGGATATTCCAGCTGTGGACACCTGCCCTTCCGTCTGTATAATAAGGACAGATGAGGGTGAGTTTCCTGAGGAACTTAGAGCTCGAGCAGGAGATGAAGAATGCCTGCATTTCTTTCTTTTTAAAAACTTTTTACTAAGCTTTCGGCTGTGTCGGT